CGACCATCATACTTAGCATCGTCGACATCATCATCCCCCTTCTCTTCCTACCCGCCATTGACATCCTGCTCCTCTTAGGCATGCTAACGTAGGGGATGATCCTCATCATCCTCGTCCAGCTCGTTTTCCTTCTCTCACCTCTACACAGCCTCTTGCTCCTCCTCGATATGCCCCTTCCTCCTTCATCTCTGTCATCACTTCCTCATCCCTCCCTCATTCCTCCTCATCTCTCCTCATCCCTTCTCCGTCCCTCCCTCCCTCCCTCTCTCCTCCCCTCCATCTCTCCGTCTAGCCATCATCTCTCCTTTCTCCTCCCTGCTTCCTGCTCCCTTACTCCCTCCCGTCTCCCCTCCTCCTCCCCGGCCCACAACTACACCACTACGCCCTTCCATACGCGACCCGCCTCAAGCAGCTCGCCCGCTAAACCCAAGCCATACGTTGGCAAGTGATGGCGACGGCCTCACAAATAATCGTACTTGAGGATGTCCACATGCGCCGTCCTCGAAAGATTCCTCGCCTCGGCCGTGTCTGAGGTATTCACACGCCTTCGTCGACACGGTGCCAGGTGATCCCCCGCAAAAACTCCCCTGGGCAGCCCAAGAAGCCGAGCCTTGCGCTTATCGCCTGCCCCAGGCCAGGGGTTCATGGGCAGCCAACTCAATACACTGTGGCAGTACTGCAGGAGGCAACGCAGCCCAATGCTCAACACCCACACGACGACGCGCACGCAGACCCGAACCGGCACCGCGGCGAGCAGCAACGCGCTACGCACAGGGGGCGCCATGATGTTTTGCAGCGGCAATCACACGTAGCCGCTAACAGGAACATATCTGTTAGCCAGCGTGGACCCCAAACAATGTGCTTCGAGTAAACTATGGTGTGCCATCTATGTGGTGCAGGGTATCCATGTTTGAGGCTGTCGCAAGCGTTCAAAACAACGAGCGCGGCGCCAAGGCGAGACCTCCAATTCGAAAACACCCCCACTCCATCCTTACACCTGCTGCAAATTTCACACTTCAGGATCATACGCTGCGGAAGAATTTTGGACGAAACGCCCAGCCCGCCCTCCCGGCACGACTGGGGCCGCGACAGGGAGGAGTTGTCCCTAAAGGAAATGGATGGGGAAGGGCGACGACGAGCAGGAGGAACTCTGGAGCGGAGAGGGGGGGGGACGAGGAGGAGGAGTAGGAGGAGGAGGAGGAGGAGGAGGAGGAACGGGAGGAGAATATAAACGGTGGAGGAGGAGGTGTAGGTGGAGGTGGAGCAGGAATGTGGAATGTGATATCAGGGGGAGACGGAATGGGAGAAAAGAGGCGTGGGACAAGTTGGAGCAGGGGAAAAGGCAGATGGCAGAGCTCGGCTCTGCGCCGGCACAGGGTATCATCATCATCATCATCATCATCATCATCATCATCATCATCATCAGCATCATCATCATCATCATCATCATCATCATCATCATCATCATCATCATCATCATCATTATCATGATCGTCATCATCATCATCATCAGCAGCATCAGCATCAGCATCAGCATCATCATCATCAGCATCATCAGCAGCATCATCATCAGCAGCATCATCAGCATCATCATCGTTATCATCAACATCAGCATCAGCATCAACATCAGCATCAGCATCAGCATCAGCATCAGTATCATCATCATCAGCATCATTCCCATCATCATCATCATCATCAGCATCACCATCATCATCACCATCATCGTCAGCATCGTCAGCATCATCAGCAGCATCATCATCCTCATCCTCATCCTCATCCTCATCATCGTCGTCATCATCATCATCATAATCATCATAATCAGCATCAGCATCATCATCATCATCAGCAGCAGCATCATCATCAGCATCATCATCGTCATCATCAGCATCAGCATCAGCATCAGCATCAGCATCAGCATCAGTATCATCATCATCAGCAGCAACATCATCATCAGCAGCATCATCATCATCTGCAGCAGCAGCAATACCGGCACCGACAGCATCTGAGAATCGAGCCCAGGCCTCCCAGACCTCGATCTCTCCAGTGCGGGGGCCCCAGACTCCCTGGGACCGCTTGCACGGTTTCCTCCGGGGCCGTAGGCGACCCGAGGAGGAGGAGGAGGAGGAGGAGGAGGAGGAGGAGGAGGAGGACGAGGAGGTGGAGGAGGGGGAGGGGGAGGAGGAGATGGAGGGGGAGGAGGAGGAGGAGGAGGAGGAGGAGGATGAGGAGGAGGATAATGAGGAGGAGGAGGAGGAGGAGGATAATGAGGAGGAGGAGGAGGAGGAGGAGGAGGAGTAGGACGAGGAGGAGGAGGAGGGGTCGCCTAAGCCCTCCGGAGAAACCCTCCAGGACCGCTTCGTCGGGCCAGGCCAGGGGGGAGTGCCGCGCCCGCGCCCGGCACGGCCGACTCGGCGGCCGCCCCGTCGCGCCGGACCGCGCCCGCGCGCACGAGGAGGGGGCGGAGGAGCACGGCGGGGCTTCGAAAGCGTGCAGTCGGGCATGTCCCCCTACAGAAGGAATAGCTAAAAGAGTAGTTGGTGTTTTCGTTGTTGGCTATTTTTCATGCTTCTTCCAACATCCGCCTGTAGTTCGGAGGACATGCCCGACCTGGCGATGGCCTCGGAGAGCCCGCGAGTCGGCCCCCACTGGCGCCGGGCACCCCGAGAGAGCGCCGCCCCGAGGTCTGCCAGGCCGCTGGAGGTCTACGAGAGGGCCACTCTTAGGTCGGGCATGTCCTCCGACAGGCGGATTCGGGAGAAAACATGCCACAAGAATGCTCCAGCATGTATCTTAAAAAATCGCCGGCCCAACGGGCCAGAGGCGTGCTAAGATCTCCGGCAACTGGTTAACAATATTTCTACATCGCGCGCGCGGGGCGGCCCCTGAGGGTCCCCCGGGCAAGTCCCGGGAGGGTCCCGGCAGGTCGGGTCAGAGATGCTGGACCGAGCAATTTTTCGACACCCCTCGCGAGGATCGTGGCCTCCGAGGGGGGGGGACGCAATCGACAACCCCCCCTCCTGCCCCAAGAGGCCCCCAAGAGCCCCCCAAGAGGCCCTGGGGGCCCCCAACCCCAAGACGCCGCCAAGGAGCCCCAAGAGACTCCCAAGAGGTCCCCAAGAGGCCCCCAAGAGGCCCTAAAGAGGGCTCCAGGGCCGGTGGAATGAGCGAAGCGATTGAATACTCGAAAATCGTCCCCCGACTATTTTTTGACTATTTTCGAATGTTCCTCCTGCAGAGGGACAGGCCCGACTTCAGGCCCATCCTCGATCGTCGACGGCCCATCGGCTGCGGGACGCGGCGGCCCTGGGACACCTCGATCGACCGCCGCCCCGAGGTCTGCCACAAGACGCTGGAGGTCTCTGGGGGGGGGGCCGATCCTCGATGGACCGCCGCCCCGAGGTCTGCCACGAGACGCTGGGGGTCTCTGGGGGGGCCGCTCCTCGATCGACCGCCGCCCCGAGGTCTGCCACGAGACGCTGGAGGTCTCTGGGGGGGGGCCGATCCTCGAGCGTCGACGGCCCATCGGCTGCGGGCGCGCGGCGGTGGTGCGCGGCGGGCGGGCGGCGATCTGGCACGAAGGAGGCGGGGGGGGCACCTCGGACGGGCACGGCCACCTGCAGGCGGATCGTAGAAGGTGACTCACAAAAGAGCTGAGCAACCATCAAAAAGGATCAAACGATCGTCGGCATATCGCACCCGGACAATGAGCGACGCGCCCGCCTGAAGGGTAACAATGACGGAAGCAGGCCCCGGACCCTGGGGCGCTCGCTCACCCCCGGCCAGCTTCTCTCGGGGGCGCGCCAAATCCATGGAGTAGCGATCCGTGGATTTGGCGCGCGGCCGCCAAATCCATGTCGGGGGAGGTGCCCTCCCCACAGTGCGGTCGGTGCCGCCTCGCTCGGCGGCGGAAGCCCGCGATCTCCCATGGAAAACGGGGACCCGTCGCTAATCCACACCACCCCCCTTGATCCATGTTTGCGATCTCGCCTGAGCTTTTCCCTCCGTCGTCGTCTGCGCACGGCCCCTCCGGGGGCCTGGGGAGGGCCCAGGGGCGAGCCCGAGAGCACCAGAAACCTCCAGAGAGCCGCTGCCCTCAGGACCGAGGGCAACGAGGGGGGGAGGGACGGGCTCAGGGGGGGGACTGGCTCCTCCTCCTCCTCCTCCTCCCTCCTCCTCCTCCTCCTCTCCTCCTCCTCCTCCTCCTCCTCCTCCCCCTCCTCCTCCTCCTCCTCCTCCTCATACTCATCAGATTCCTCTTATTATTCTTATTATTAGTAGTATGCTTACCACGACTAGCATTATTATCATCATCCGCATCATTAGTACTATTATCATTGTTGTTATTAGTATTAGTAATAGTATTCGTCGTGATACAATTGATAATATTATTAGTAGTATTACTATTAACAGTATTATTACTAGTGCTATATTATTATGAGTGTTGCCGTTATTGTTAGTGATAATAATATTAGAACTATTATTAGTAGTGTTTATTAGTATTACTAGTATTAGTATTAATCGTATTCGTATTACCATTATTATTCTTATTATTATCAGCATCATCATCACCAACATCATCCGCATCGTCATCATCACCAGCATCATCACCATCATCATCAGCAACAACAACATCATTAGTAGTATCCGTGCTATTAATGTTAATGATAGTGTTAGTATGATGAGTGTTATTAGTAGTGGTATTAGTGTTGTACTTAGTCGCAGTACTAGTACTGTTAGTAGGAATAGTAGTGCGATTAGTACGTTTAGCATTATTAGTAGTGTTAGTACGATCCTTCTAAGTCTTATTCATAGTAGTAGTAGTGGTAGTGGTTTTGTAATAAGTCTGAGTATTCGCATTCTTATGAGTATTCTTATTAGTAGACTTAGTATCATTAGTACTAGTCTTGCTCTTATAATTCTTAATAGTATTCCTCTTCCACCTCCTGCTCCTCCTCGTCCTCCGCATCCTCCTTCTCCCCCTCACCCTCACCCTCCTCCTCCTGCTCCTCCTCCTCCTCCTATTCCTCCTCCTCCTCCTCCTGCTCTTCCTCCTCAGCATCCTCCTCCTCCTCATCCTCCTCCTTCTCCTCCTCCATCCTCCCCTCCACTCCCCTCCTCCTCCTCCTCCTCCT